ATGAAATAATTTTGAAAAAAATATTTAAAAATATTTTTTTAAGTAATTTTGAAAATATTTTTATAAAAATATATTTTAAGATATAAAAAATATATTTATAAGTTAAAAAATTTTATTATAATTAAAAAAAGATTTTATTTTAATAATTTTTATAAAAAATAATAGTAAAATAGAAAGTTTACTATGCTTTCTTATAAAAATCATTAAAATAAAACTTTAACTAGTATTTATTAAATAAATATATAATAAAATTTTTTTTAAATTTATTATAATATTTTTGCAAAAATATTTTTAAAATTATCTATTAAAAATATTTTTAAATAATTTTTTTTAAAATTATTTTATATAAATACCTAATTTATAATATTTGACATAAAATTTTATTAAGCTAACATATCTTGTGCTATTAATAAATCTTGGTTAGGATATTCTAAAAAATTTATTTATAAAATTTCATGTTTTTAAATACTTTATTATTAAAATATAAATGAAAATATTTACTATTATTACTTTTATTCTTGACAATATATTTTTATCTATCTGATTGTTAATTAATTAATTATTTATTTTATTTTAAAAATATAAAAATTAAGTATAATTAAATCTCTTTATATTATAATAATTTAAAAGCAAATTAAATAATTATAAAGAGAACTATAAGAGTAAATATGACTAAAAAAAATTTTACTTTTTCAGGGCAGTTGATTGGCTCGTACCATAATCAGCAAAGATTTTGGTGATACTAATTACATCATAAACGTTTCTATTAACCATTTTCTCTTATCAAGAAAAATGGAAAGAGGAGGAACCATAAGGGATTACATTGACGCGCGAAAAAAGGTTTGTTAGCTTTAATTTTCATGTGGTTGGCTTTGATTACTTAATACGTGTCTTAATTTTAATACTTTTTGAATTAGAGTGGAATAACATGGTATACTTATCATTCGCTTTCAAATAATAATTTGAAATTAATATAATTGTAATTTTCGATAACCTGTGAACATATGTTTCTCTTTATATCAACTTTGGCAAATAAAAAAATTCACGTTTACACTTTCTGCCTTTTTATACCTTAACGCGTGATTTTTTTCATTTGTTATTTTAAATCACACGTCTCGATTACCCTTCTACGCACCATACCCACATTTTATTTGATGTAAACTTGTAATTCTCAATAATAATAAAAATATGATCTCCTCCTTTGAGGGACGAATTTCGTAAACTAAAATCAGATGGTCCGCAATTCTCCGAACTCGATCTGATCAAGTATCGAAAACAGCTTGACGAAGATCGTGAAGCCAAACTGAGAGGTGGTATTGCTACCTCTTCAACAAAAAAGAAAAAGTCAAAGAAACGTCATCATCATCGAGAAAACAAAAAAAGTAGAAGGAATCGAAGTAGGAGCAGAAGTAAAAGTTCAAGTAGGAGTCCTAGTAGAGGTAGGAGTAGCTCGGCGGCGAGTAAGAGTCCTCCGTCTACTCCACCAAGTAGAAGTGGTAGTCCGTATAGGGATCATCGGCAGGGGTATTCTAGTGAAGAAAGTGGCGAGATTAGGGAGGAGGAGAATAATGATGAACGTGGCAGTTCTCAAAGTCAACGCGAGGAACACGGATCCAGGGTAAAAAATTCGGTTTTTATTTTTCAAGAAATAAAAAAATAGTAGTTACTCATTGATTAATAAACTTTAAGCGCAAAAGACATTCCAAAGAAAAACATCATCATAGCCGACAAAAGCGAAAATATTCAGAAAATGAAGATGACAAAGATAATAAGTATAAACACTCTCATCATTCTCATAAACGTCGTAGTCATCATAAAGTGCGACATGATGTAAAAGGACGCTCTTCTAGAAGCGAGGAAGAATCAGATGATGAAAAACCACGAAAACGTCATCACCATCATGGACGTCATTCAGAGAAGGTAAAGAAATATATGCACCATTTTTCTTAAAAAAAATACAAGAATGATGTTTTTTAATTTATAAACGAATAATTAGAAACCTCCTATTAAAGAGGAACATCGAGGAGACACTCCTGTCCGTCTGTCAGAGTATCTTAAACACGGAAGTAGCAGCTCGGATGAGTAAAAATTAATTATTTAATCGATAGGACTCGTGAAAATTATATAATTCTTTAATATTATATGTATTATGATGACGGGAGAATTTTGCAAAGATGTATGTGTAAAATGATAGTTATAATCCGGGTCATCCTGTTCTGGGTAACCTTAAATTATCTCTGTACATGAATAATAATACAAGTTAATTCTTCAAATCAATGATATTGCTCAAATTTTTTGAAAAAGGAATCAAACTTTAACGCGATTTGCACTCGTAACAAGTGAATGATAAAAGTGGCAAGGCTGAATAAATTGTACTAATTTATTGTTCTTTAATACTCTTTTTAGCAATCAATGAGAATCAAAAGCTTCTTTCACAAGTTCAGTGAAATACTTTGCACACTCGGTCGCGTCAAAATATCGATACCAATGATCAGTCTTATGTGTCAACACTTCTAAACTAGTCTTCTGTTCATCATTCCATTGATATGAAATTAACCGCATCAACCATTTGGCCAATGGATCAAGTGACGACGACCACCGATCCGTATTTCGGGAAATCACTCTGCATAATGGAATACAAATAGGATCTTCCACGTAGAATCCCGAAACTGCTAATACATGATGAAATAGGAAAAGGCGCAATAATTCGTTTCCATCGTCGAAAGGATGTATTACGCCAACACTGAATGAGACTATGGCAGTCAACACTATAGGATCCATTAGATAGTCACAGAGGTATTGATCAAACAAAAGTAGTAACCCGTTCATCATATCATTTACATCTTCTGGTTTTGCTGGGATATATTTAATGTTAATATTCTTGTTATTATCAATAATAAATGGCTGACTTTTGCGATAATCTGTTATTGCCGGATCAGCTGAAATAAATTTACTACATATATAAAAAAGGTCATTTGTGTTCACGGGATTTGAAAAGGATTGACCACAGTATTTTTGAAACATTTCAACCAAAACTTCACTTGCTTCTTTTCCCTTTCCGCCTGCTGTATTAGAGGATGGCATTGATCGATGCTCAATTGCATATGATGCCGCGATTTCCGATTTGGCTATTTTATCCAATAGTGTTTTAAGTTTCGGTGTTTTACTCTTTGATGTTGGATGTCGCTTCTTTGGCAGACACTTTGTTCCAATTTCGCTATCTCGACGAACCATCGGACAAAACTCACGATTACCAAGCAAGTTGACATCCACACGATGTCTTGGCGAAAATTTAGGCGTCGATGTGAAATACTGGTTCTTATCAAGCAATAAAACCTCATTTTCCAAAGGTGACAAATCCTTGATAGACTCCAGATGCATATCCGTCAAAAACTCATACAAATACCACAATCTTCGATTTGTCGGATCCTTGATATCCGAACTCGCAAGCAATTTTTCAAATCGTGCCGCTGAAAATTTTTCCGACGAAAATAATGCCGCCAAAATACACAGATTGATTCCTTCGTTATCTATAGCATATCGTAGATGATGAATCAGGCCTATCTTTAGATGTTTATTTTTCTCTTTGATTTCGGACATTGGAACGAGATTCCACATAATCCCATTGACCTCTTTTGGCTCGCGTACTGGTGAACCCACGACACCAGACAAGTCTATCACGCTAAGTATGTAGTTTGGTGGTACTATCAGATTGAATACTTTTATTAAGTAGAGATATCCTGTTGGTACGGTGTCTAGTTTTTCGTAAGGGTTGTCTTCCCAGTACGCTAGTCCTGGTGTTATGCCAACTACGCGAAATGAATCATTTGTGGGCGTTAGGGAAGTGAAGGCAAAACTATATGCTTTGGGTTTACTTCCATTCTTTTGTGATTTTTTTGACGAGAGAAAAGCAGTGGCAGTGCCTTTTATAGAGGATTCTTCATGCTCTTCTTTATCTAAAGATTTTTGTTCTTGTTTCTGCTTTTGTGAACTCTTTTGATTTACCTGTTCTTCTTGAGAATTGTGCACTACTTTTTCTTGTTGCTGTGAATCTCGTTTAACTTCCTGTTCGCGAGATTCCCACTTTACTTGCTCTTTTTGTACTTTAGATACTGTCTTTACTTGTTCTTTTTCTTGCTTTACTTGAGATTCAAGAGTTAAATCACTAAATACTCTACTTAATGAATCAGGATTCACGCGTATTTGTCCAAAAAGTAGAACTCTATTTGTGGAATTTTGGTTAGTAAGACTTGAATTTGAGGTTGGATATTGCGAAGACGACGACGAAGGCTGGTTATTAGAGTAAGGGTACATTTTTGGAGATGTAGATTTAATTGAAATGTGCTACAATCTTCATTTATTGAATAATATTTTGCTGAATATTAGCTAAATATATTTTTTAGAAAATAGTTAAATTAACATAAGTATATTAATAAATTAATATGGTCCAGTGCAAAAAGATTTGTACCTCAATATAAAATATAAAATAAAAAATGATCTAAATTATTTTAATTATTCTATTCAATAATAAATGAAGCAATACTTTTTAAAAAACTAAAATAAAATTATTTTTTTAAAAAAAGATATTTTAAATATTATCACTATCAATTTATAATATTAAAACTTTAATTTATATAAAGCAGGTTGTCTTAGATTTGATAAAAATATATTTTAAATTTCATAAAATTAAATTAGTAATTATAAAGAAATTAAGATTCAAAGTTTAGTAATTAAATTATTTACTATATATAAATTAGTGCAAAAAGATTTGTATCTCAATATAAAAATCATTTAAATTTTAATTAATTTTTATAATTTTTTTATATTAAATAAAAAATGATCTAAATTATTTTAATTATTCTATTTAATAATAAATGAAGCAATACTTTTTTAAAAAATAAAATAAAATTATTTTTTTAAAAAAAGATATTTTAAATATTATCATTATCAATTTGCAATATTAAAACTTTAATTTATATAAAGTGAATTATCTTAGATTTGATAAAAATATGTTTTAAATTTTATAAAATTGAATTAGTAGTTATAAAGAAATTAAAATTTAAAGTTTAGTAATTAAATTATTTACTATATATGAATTAATGCAAAAAGATTTATATCTTAATATAAAAATTAATAATTACTTCTAATAAAAATTATTCAAATTTTAATTAATCTTT